TGTTATATAGGGTGAGGTCCCAGGTGGTCTGAAGGAAGGGGAAACCATTACAGTCTTTACTCCGGGGTTTTCAGCACTGGAACATGATTTAGCAGTGAATCCTAGAGTCTACAGAAATCAATAATCCAAATAATTTTGACATAAAAAACCATCTGCTGTAAACCCTTACCTTCTGAAGACACCTTCAACACCAGTAATGCCCATCCCATCCACAATATCTCTGGTGAGTCTGAAAGGAACCGTTTCAGGAGTAGGGAGGATCTTACCCTGTTCAAAAGCAACTCCTAAAGGAAACAGTACAGCAAGGTTAGGAGGTTCCACAGCAAACTGACTGTCCTCCCTTGGGGTGTGTGAGCTGTGCAAGGCCGCAGATCATCTGTCATCAATACTGCATAGTAACACACAGTACCACTCACGGTGGTTTATTCTGTTTCTGCTCTGCCACAGTCTAGGAGATGCACCTCAAATTTAAAAAGCGTAACAACTTCCAGACATAATTAGAGAAGTTCTAGATTAAAGGGTGATTTTTTAAAATGAAATAGTGATGGGTAGGATTTAAAATGCAAAGTATGCATATAATCTTAATTTATATGTATTTAAGTATACAGGCATACTAGTTATATACTAAAACTTTTTATTAAATGAAACTTTTTATTCTGAGATAACTATAGATTGATATGCATTCATAAGATACAATATGCAAAATACAAAATTCCCCATATACCTTTTATTCATTTTCCCCCAATCTTGCAAAACTACACAGTAGTTTCCCAGCCAGGACACAGACACTGATCCAGTCAAGGTCCAGAATATTCCCATCACCACAAGAATCCTTCAAGCTGCCCCATTTACAGCCACCCACATCCCTCCCAGCCTACTGCCCTCCCACTCACTCTGTGCCTCCAGCAATCACTACTCTTTTGTAACTTCGTGTAACTGAATTCATTCTGGGGAAAACCATGTAATATACGTGATCTTCTCTATTCTAATGGAACTCCATCTTAACTCAGCAACGACTTCTATGGATTATAATACAGAACTGATAATTTCCTGAGACTACACCTTCTTAGAAATCTTAAAGCTCTTTTTCTACCCCCTTATTAAAGAGTCTTCAAACTCACTGAGATTTCTAGTCTGTCCGCCTTTCTTCCTTCCCTACTCCACTCAGGGTGCGGAGTGCAAGGCTGCTCACTCTCACTGCTGCCTCATGTCTCGTTGGCCCCCGGCCCCTCCACACTTCTCTAGGCACAGCTGCGACTCACTCAGGGAGGCTGGGAGGAGGTGCGGGAAGACACCACTGGCCCCACTGGCCCCACTGCAAGTGCAGGTCCTCACGGTAGGCGAGCGCCCCGTGGACTGCTCGGCACGTCGCCTTCGCTCCCCGTCTCCACCCGGCTCTTGGTCTCACCTCTGTGGAGCCCGGTTTGCATTGTACTGTTCTTACAAGGCCAATTACCATCCCTCCGCTGCTCAGCAAGCAAGCAGGCTTTTGCTTTCTCAGTTAAAACAGAATAGCAAATGTTACTTCCCTCCAATTCTTTCTCCTCTAGCTTAAGACCTTCCTCCTCTCAGTGGAAAAGCTAATGTGCCTCCCGTGTAAAGCTAACTGTACCCCAGATGCTTGAGGACTTCCCCTCGCTATTTCAGGATCTCTGTCTCTCTCCTCTAGCTTATCCATATAGAACATGTGCACGCCGCTCTCATCTTTAAAAAGCAAATGAAAAAACCCTCAAAACAAACAAAAAGGGCTGGAGCATGTCTCTCTCATCTCTAGAGCCAATGCCTCTCCCATCCTTCTAAACCTCTCGTGGACAGCGCTCATTCTTGGTCTGCAAGTCCTTACCTTTCCACAATCTCACTTCTTCCATCCTATTCAGATTAACTTCCTAGACCTTGAACATCGATTAACTGTTCAAAGGCCTGTTTTCAGTGTTGACCCTATTTGACCTGCTGTAGCAGACACTACTGAGCACTTCTTCCTTCATGAAAAACTTCCCGCCCCTGCCTTCCAAGATACCCCTGCCTCCTCGTTCCCATGACTTGTTGGTTATTCCTCAATGTTTTTTCGGACTCAGGCTTTTCAAAACTGGCATTCCTTAGGATTCTGTCTTCAGTCTTCTTTATCAAGGAGGATATAGAAGATCAGAACCTCCTCCAGTCCACTGACCCCAGCTGACATCTATTAGCGGAAGGCTGTACAGCTCTATCATTATGCTCAACCTCTTTGCCTTCCTGTATATTAAACTGCCCATTACACCTGGAAGTCCCATTAATACCTAAAGACAAGATGCAAAAGTGAACTCACTGCTTTCTCATTCTTCACAAAACCTGCTGCGTTTCCTCACTAGAAACGTCAGTTATCCTGCCATCCCTTCTCCCGCCCTTGCCATGTCTAACATCCCGGCTGCAGGTTACGATGAAAACGTCCCCCACAGCCCAGCTCCTGACCTCTACAACTTTAGTCCAAGTCCTCATCCTTTCTTGTCTGAACTATTATACTAGCCCCTAACGTGTCTTTCCACTGCCAGTATTGCTCCCCAAATTATTTCTCCAATAATTAAATGTGATCATGTCCTACTTAAATACATCTTCATTTACTCCCCCCCTTGTTTCACAGGTTAAAGCTGAAACGCTTAGCCTGGCTTTTTACAGTCTAGTACCAAGCTACCTCTCCAGCTACTCAACTACACGCAAACTTCACTCCGGCCATATCGGACATCTCACCATTCCTACAGGTTACATCTTCATTAGTCCCCGTTTTGTATTTGCTCTCTCTTCTGTCTGGATTATCTATCCTTTCTTTAAGATCTGGCTTAAATGTCACCTGTTGTAGTAAGTTTCACTCATTATCTCAACAGAGTTAGCTATTCCCTCTAGCATGTGTTTATGCTTTTTTTTTAAACAACACTTCCTACTTTGATCTGTCTCCCTCACACTTGTAACATCCTGGAGGCAAATATCACTTCTTATGACCAAGTATTTAATAAACAGCTAATTTTCTAATCTTTTATTACTTACCCAAATCTATATGTACAAGTTCTGCAGACTGCTCATTTATCAAGATATTCTGTACATGTCGATCACCAAGTCCAAGTATGTAACCAACTGGGGAAAAAAACAAGAAACCAACCTGAAATCCCTGGGATCATCTATTTCTAGAACACACTGACCCATAATTTCTACTAATACCACTGACAACATTTTTAAGTAGTGTAGGCTATTTAGCCGGCTTCAAGGAAAATATGCACATAACTTGCCACTTTGAATTTAAGTCAGATCTTGCGAGCTCTTTCACCAACACTGCATTTTACAAATTCTACATGGTGAGCTAAAAAAAAGCTTTCCCTTTACTAATAAGCATACATTTAAAAATATTCATACTTTGAAAATTAGTGCGGTTAAAGTTGAGACCCATTATTTAGCAAGGCATTATATGCCCTCAAATATTTTACTGAGTATACTTTTAAATTTAACATAAATTAAGCATTAACTCATTTCATCAGATATATGTCCAGGAAAAACTACATTTCTGTTTTCAAGATAGATGATGGCACGCCCAAACACTTCTGACCTAATGAAAACAGCATGTGGTGTTACAGAAGAAACAGGACGCCCGTGCACCTGGCTAGCACTATCATGAACTGGGTCTCCTTTCTTATTTATAAACTGAATTAGTTGACTCAGATTAGTGATTCTCACTGTAGACAGAAGAGGGTTTTTTAATGACCGAGAACTTGTTCAGAATATACATACACTCCTTGCCTCTCGGGGTATGCTACCTAAGTGATGGAGGGATGGCCTTTCTTAGTTAAAAAATCAATAGATTAGAAGATCTCTGCTATTCAACATTAGTTTTCATACTCTAGGATTTGGCTAATAGCCCTGTCTAGCTATTCCAGTCTCTTACCAATTAAAAAAACAAGGTCAAAATATGTAGTGTGCCCTGCGTATTTGAATATATATCATACTTTCTAATCCAAACATAAAATTCTATTAAATAGATTCAGTCACTAAGTGATAACAGAGATTTTGTGCAAAAGAACAACAAATTAAATTAAAGGAGGTTAAGTTAAATATAGTTATCATGGGTTTTATTATTTCCCAAAGGCGATCTCAGAAAATAACATACTGAGGGGCGCCTGGGTGGCTCAGTCGTTAAGGGTCTGCCTTCGGCTCAGGTCATGATCCCAGGGTCCTGGGATCGAGCCCCACATCGGGCTCCCTGCCCGGCGGGAAGCCTGCTTCTCCCTCTCCCACTCCCCCTGCTTGTGTTTCTGCTCTCGCTATCTCTCTCTCCATCAAATAAATAAATAAAACCTTAAAAAAAAAAAAAGAAGAAAATAACATTGAGGGAAGATTGAAAATACGCCATATTCACTACTGAACAAAGAAGAGCCGGTCTTCTCTCTCCTTGGAGTAGGAGAGTTCTTTCCTGCAAAAGCTCAGAAGAACGAGTTACGAGCCGAGAGGCGAACGTCGAGACGCACAATGACGGAATGACGAGGATGGTCTGGCTGACAAGCTCCCTCAGCACCATCACCCCCTGCAGCTGAGAAAGCATCCAGTGCCCACGGGCTACAACGGACAGGATGATTACCGATAGAGGAAGTGGCCACGCTGCGAGTATAAGCCAGTCGCTTCTCAAACCAAACGGCTGGGTCCAAGAATTTTTCCATGCAGAAGTAACGGAAAACCGGCTGAAATTTTTGGCAGACATCCATGAACGTTTTATATTTCTCTTCAAACGACTTCTTTTGTACATCCTTTAAAAAGATCAAATATAAAATTTTCTCAATATTGTGTTCAACTACTTTAATGTCTACTCAGAGTTTCTAGGTAGAAAACAGACAGATGCAGAGGCAATGAAGAGATAAACAAGGTATTATCTACCCCCCGAAGCTAACAGTCTGGTCAGGGAAACAGTGACAAGGTATAATCCCTTTAGGCTTCACATGTGAATCTTAGGGGAAGGAGACACACCAACAGTGACTGTTGTTTTAATTCAATTCTAATTGGAATGATTCTGTTATCTATGTGGAAGTAAACACAAAACAGCCAGAAACGGCTCCGGACTGTCTGAGGATCAGGGCACAGAGCACCAGGGGCCCAACAGGAAACAGAAAAGCAAGAATGGATGGCGAAGACGCTGACATGTCTCAGATCTGTCCTCCAATATCTTCTCACTAGGTAATCCTCTCCTGGGGCAGAGCTGATCTACCTCCATGGGCTGCACTCTCACCATGTGCTGACGACCCCACATCTCAATCTCTGGCCCAGTGTCTTTATGAAGCTCCGCCTGGCCTGCTTCTCAGACTGCCCGTAGCATCTTCACCGGGATCACTTCCAAACCCGAACGACTTCTTCACCTTCTCCTCAGCAAACCTCAGCCACTTCTCTCATCTTCTACACAGTAAGGAGCCCCTCCATCCACCCCATCACCCAAACACTGGGTGTCACTGATTACTTTTTCCCCAACCCCACTTCTAATCAGTAATCAAATCCTATCAGTTCTGCCTCCTTAATATTTCTGATATGTACCCCTTACTTTCCATTCCTGCTGCTATTCGTCTTAATTCAGGGCCCCTGTGTCACGCCTCTAGTCAGCTTCTCAAAAATGTAGCCCACAGTGCTGTGAGATCTTTCTCTAAAATGCAAATCTGGTATTACTGTCCTTCTCGAGGGTTCTCTACTGCCTACAGGATAAAGTACCCAGTTCTTAGCATTTCATGAAACAACCCTCCATTTTTTGACTAACAACTACTGCTTCAGTTCACTGATCTCCTCAAAAACTAAGCCTCTGCTGTCTCCAACTGCCTGTCCGGGCCTCCTTCCCTTTGCTTGCATGCGCCTTCTACTTGGAAAACCAATTCAGTGAGTCATCTCGGCTCAAAGGCCACTGCCCTACGAAGCCTTTCTGGATCTGGCTCCAGTCCTGCCCAGCGCAGGTAGAACGCACCACATCCACCCCTGGGCCTGCACGGTACCCGGGAAAGCTTTCCATCACGACACCTGCGGCACTTTGCCACCCCGTTAAAAAATTATAAGGAAAGGTAACAGATTCAGGGTTGGACAGACAAGATTCAAATCCTTGCTCCACCATTAGCTCATTGACCTGGGCAAGTGAAATTTCTGAATGTCCTCTCATTTTAAAATGGGGTAAGTACGACGATGAGGAGTCCTAACATTTGTGAAGTGTGAGCGCAGTGCCCAGGGGAAAAGGCACGTCCAGTCCATGTTGCGGCTGGATGAACGTCAGGCCACAAGGCCAGTGTGATGTGGCCAATGTCTTAAAAGGTCTATCAGTTTTATATAAAAATTATTTTGTTATCTATTTTTTGGTTTAATTAGTGTTTTGTCTGTTAAGAATTAGCTTACCCCAAACTGGAAGCAAATTAGCATTCCACCGAATGTTAAATCTCTCATCAGACAAGGGTCGGCACTTTATAGTTTACAGACCTTCCTGTTTCACTCACACACACTTCTATGCTGGCGGGCGTGCTTGCTTTCACTCAGGATCACCACTCGATGACACTGAAACATGACTGTGTGCTCTAACATTTCAGAGCGGTCAGCTGCGGCAAGCTGGTACATAGTCTTGCACTAATTTGTACTTGTGAGTGTCACTCACCATCATTTTCTTCTGGCAGTGAAAGGCGCTGAAGTCCTTCGGCCTGTATCGCTTATGAGCACCGTTCTCGTTATTCACGAGGAACTCACCGATGGGGACAGTTCCTGTGCACCATTCAAGAACTCCGCTTCGCTGAGACAGCGGAACCACCTGCACCACAGAGGAGATGCCTTTTGATTAGTGGAAGGGTCCCGAAGAGCATGTGATGATCCCTCAACTACCAGAAACCGTGGAAAGCAGCTCTTTCGACTGTATTGCTGTTTCTGTGTCCAGAGGAGACAGAACATCTTGGAGGTAAGCAGCGGAAAACACACTTACGCTCCAAGAACAGGATTTTCTAGCCTGCGGCTGAGACTCCTGAGGACCTGCTCTGCTCTCAGTCTCCATGATTCCCTGAGAGGTCAAGCCTGTTAACTAGGCTTTTCAGTAGCATCTGTGCCTGAGCCACAGTTTGCTCCATTTAGCAGAGGAGTTACCTGCTTTCCTCATACTTTTAGTATCAAACAATCTGAAGAATTTCACTTTGGAAAATACTGACTATAACCTTAATACTAATATACTTTGATAATTAAAAGTATATGTATTCTTGCTTTAGAGTCTTGTTAGCTACACCAAGAGGAAATATACTCCTGAACATAAAATGAGCAATTTTACTGGAAAGATTAAAAACTGACATATATATAAACATACACAAAGTATAGAAAATAATAGAAACAGGGCGCCTGGGTGGCTCAGTTGGTTAAGCGACTGCCTTCTGCTCATGGTCATGATCCCAGGGTCCTGTCCCACATCGGGCTCCCGGCTTAGCAGGGAGCCTACTTCTCCCTCTGACCCTCTCCCCTCTCATGCTGTTTCTCTCTCGCTCACTCTCAAATAAATAAATAAATAAATAAAATCTTAAAATGCTAAAAAAAAATAATAATAGAAACAAACATCCTTTTACCCACTAAATTTGCTGCAGAGAGATGAAGCTCCCTGTGTACCGCTCCCTGGCCCCATGCCCTTCCCCACCACCAAGATGACTGCTAGTTATCTGGTTATCATTAATGTTCAGGTATTTCTGGTATATTTTTATTTCAAAGCAATATGTACAGAGTTGTAAGCTTTAAGTAAAAGAGTATTATACTCCGTGAATGCTTCTGCAATTTGTTTTTTACTCACTCAACACTATTTTATCTGCATTAGTACATGTAACCCTAAATCATTTGTTTCAACAACCACAGGTTGTATAAGAACACCATAATTACCCACATATATACACACCCAGGAACTGAATACTGGGGTCACGGGGGATGTGCGTCTTCCGCTTAGTTAACCAGAGGCTGCCAAAGAACTATCCAAAGTAGTTATGCCGATTTAGACACCCAGTACTGTGCCGATGTGAGATGTGTGCACCCGTGTCTCACTGTGGCTTCAGTTTTATTTTCAGATGCCCAGTAAGGCTGAGTAAAATTTAATAGGCTCACTGGCCACTCAAATATTTTCTTCCTGAGTTGTCTGTATTCTTTACCCATTTTCCTACTGACATGTTAGCCTTTTTACAACTGGTTGGTGACCGCTATTTATACATTCTGTATATAAATCCCTATTGTTATTAATATTACAACAAACCTTTGTTACTAATATTATTAAATTTGTTTTTCTTAGTTGGCCACTTGTCTTTATAGAATCTTTAATTCTATCAATTTTTTAATGTACTCAAACATGCTGAACTGTCTTGTGTCTTAAGGAGGTCTTTCATTAATTTATTAACTATGTTTGTGGAGAGTCCATTATGTGTTTAATAGAACAAAACAGGCATTTTAAAAAAGTGACTAAGAGAGACATGGTCAGAGAAGGCCTCTGTGAGGTGGTGACGCAGAGAGAAACCTGAATGAAGTGAGAGACGGAGGACGGGACCTGAGGGAAGAGTATTCCAGGCCGAGGGGAGGGAAGCCCGGGCGTGACACCAAAGTGCTGGATCTCAGCCACAGCAGGAAGAGCAGCTGAGCCGTCACAGGGAGAAAGTCAGAGAGGAGGGTGGGGAGAGCGGCAGATGAAGCTGCAGAGAGAACAGCCGAGGCCAATCACTTTCATTCAGGGATACGTGAACTCATCTGGAGTTCAGAACAGGAAATGGACATATTTAGTCTGTCTCAGACTCTTAAATAGATCCTCCTCACGGCTGTGAATGAAGGAGCTTTGGCGGCACAGGGAAGAAGTAAGGGGCTAGTGAGACACGATCAAGGAGACGTGACTGCAGGGTGGGGAGGGCAGGGGCGGTAACAGTGACTCCACGGAAAGCGGGCCGGTAAGGACGTGCGGACGGAACGGGTGTGAGATCTGAGAGAGAGGAGTTTAAAATGGTGCTGATATTCCTACATGATAGTTAGGAATTACTGCCTTTTAGGAGTGATGACAGTATTGTGGTTCTGTTTTGTTTTTTTAAAGAGACGTTATCTTATGCAACTACACGCTGAAATACATGTTTACAGATGAAATGACAGGACATTTTGTTTCAAAATAATACTGAAGGGAAGGAAGTAGGGAGAAGTAGAAATGAAACAAATTACCCACGAGCTGATCACTGCTGAAACTGGGTGATGGTACAAGGGAGTTCATTACCTTATTCTGTATACTTTCATATAGGTTTGAAGTTTCCGAGAGTCGTAGAAAGAAAAGGACAAGACCGCCTCCCGACTTGGGAGCAACTGGGTGAAGGTTGTGCCACCTGCTGATCTGTGAGGAGGAGACGTGTTTGCTGTGCGGTTTTTGGTGGAGGTATTCGTCGGAAGCTCCACTTTAAACTTGCTGAGCCTGAGGTGTCTCTTAGACCTCTACAGAACCCACTCATCTTGTCAGGAGCCAGCCCTTCCAAATACTGTATGTGATCGGACAAAAGACTTCTTTCTAGACTAACTGAAGGGAAAAACAGGGCTTCATGATTAGCAGGGAAGGTGCCCAAATGGCAAAAGGACCGGGACTCCTGAGCCACCATCCACAATGTGCATTTTTCCAATGACCATGCCACAGAGACCTTGCATGGCCCACAAAGTCTAAAATGTTTACTCTCACAGAAAACACTGGCTGAGGCCTCATCTGGGTAACGGCATCTTTTCTAGGCTCTTGATGAAGGGGCAGAAGCGCGAAGTAGTCACCTTGTATGTGCAGATAGTCAGTTTCCTCTTCCTGGTCTCTGTGTTCCTCTGCAGTAACTTGTTACACATCTGGAAAACCTGCTGCATGACCGCATCCTGTCTCAGGTCGTCACGGCCCTTCAGAGTAATCAAAGCACCAACAACTGGGCACAGTCCATTTTATGATAAAATCGCACAGAGAGCATGAGGACAATGAAAGGGTGCTCAGAAACCCATCTGAGCATCTGTACTCCTTTTCAGTCTCTTAAATAACTAAGACCTGGTCTTTCATTTAGAATATGCTGTAACATGGGTAGGCAGACGAGTTTAGAAAAACGTTCCCCCTCAATGCTTCTGGAATTAGGCTCACTGGAACTCCTCCACTAATTCCCAGCATGGCCCAGAGAACTTGGGAGCAGAGTAAGCGAGGAATGCCGTCCCCTTTCGGATACATTTACTAGCAGCTGGCCCAGTGCCATACTCAGGATTCTTAAAGCAAGGGCCTTCAACTTGAACTCTTCAAGAAAATAAGCAACTATCACCTGAACAGTTTTTCCATAACAAGCAACCGGATTGTTAACTTCATCATATCTGTAGTACGTGTCAGAAGTATCCTTTTACTTCAGTCAACTGTTACAATGCTGGCCTTCCAGAGACACAAAAAATTTAAGAAAAGCAATCTGCTTCTAGAAAATAATGTATTCATATTCTGTAAGTTTTCCTCACTTGCAATTTTTGAGAAGAAAAATAAAGACCCAAAGCAGGAAGTAAATATCAACTACAGTTTTGCTTTGACTTTTTTCACTAAGACACTAAGGACCGCACCCCTGGAGGGGAGTCTCACCTTGACGAGCTGTCTCCTTTCCTTGCCATCAGAGCCCAAACAGTCTATTATTTTAGGTAAATTTAAACCTCCTGCTAAACGAAATTCTGCTTTAAAGGATTGTATAGTCACCAGATTTCCGTATTCTCCAGTGGGGTCCACCTAATAAAGCATATAAATGAGAGAAGAGATCAGGTTACACTATGTGCTTTTAAAGAAGAATGAATTATAAACGACAATTTTAATATTAAACAGGAATGAAGGACAATGTGCTGTGGGTTAAGAGCTCAAGTGATAATTTACTTCTTGTTTAAATGAAAGAAACAAAATTTAACACTGGAAAGGTTTATGAAGTCACCTCTCTAAACATCTCTCACTAACGCTGGGGCACACAGTGTTAGAATAGTGTTGCCAAAAAGCTACTAAAGAACCTGGTTTCAGGTCTCACTGCTGACTTTGTCTGTTAAGTCCTCTGAGAAAGAGTAAACGTCTCACAGAAACATAGTAAGGTAAATTTTTAGAAAAGTGTGGAGAGTGGTCTTCTAGGCTGAACTGCTAACTCCGGCATTTTCGGAAATATTCGGCTGACTACCTTTGCTAATGTAGTCAGAAAGGTATCAGTTAATCCATATGATGCAGCTACATTTCAACTCGAATAACTACATATACTAAGAATGTAGTCAAATGATCCTTCTGAAAAAGTTTTAAAGTTTCTATTTTAATTCCAGCTATTTAACTTACAGTTACTAGTTTCCGGTGCACAATATACTGATTCAGCACTTCCATACGTTACCTGGTGCTCATCATGACAGGTGCACTCCTTCATCCTCATCCCCCGTTTCCCCCGTCCGCCCACCCACCTCCCCTCTGGTCACCATCAGTGTGTTCTCTGTAGTTAACAGTCCATTACTAAACTATAACATCTATTATTACATATATCCCTGCCAACTTGGTATTTCTAGCAGTAAAAGATGAGCACAACGTAGCTAAAAGTATCATGCATATTACAGTTAATTTAATACTATAACACATCTGTATTACTTAATAGCACAATACATGACAGTCAATACATTCTAACACACAGACTTTTTAAAATATGAAGCATTTAGGAACTTTCTTGCCAAGTTAAAAATTAATCTTGGCATAAGCACATAGACACTTTTCTTCTTTTAGTCACTAAAGGTAACAGTCTACAAATCGTCTTCACAAGGAAGATGGAAGGTATAAAACTGAAGGCAAAAGAAAAGAAAGCAGGAGAGTCCTTTAAGTATTGTAAGACTTAGGTAAAGGGAATCTATAAAGAAACTACAGGTTAAAACAAATGAAAGTGCTGATCTTTAACCACTTTTGATCTACTTCAAATAGTTAACCTAATTAAGAGGAATTTACTTCAATAGAAAAATCAAGACAGGTAATAGTAAATTACCTTAATTTCCATAGTTGGAACAACAACATCTTCTAAATTCTTCAGCTTAGTAATTGGCTGGTCTGCTGGGATATTTATGCCTTCTGTATTTAAAATAAAGAGGTTTTGGTGACAACTACACACTGAGGAACAGCTCTGAAGCAGACGCAACCTGTGGCCAATCTGCGGTTTAGGCCCCGATCCAGAAATGAAGACCCAGGGCTCGGGACACAACGTAGCTCAGGGCCAGAGCACGACAACAGCTAATAAGGCTTACACTTGACTTTGCAGGTAACCTGGCATGAGTAATTAGGCCAGAACCCAGCTGACAGCCCAGGCCGAGCACCTTAAGATAATTACACAACGGTCTGCACACTACATAGATAATGTACTCCCGCCACATTACTATTAAATGTAACCAAAGGATGTGACGATCAATATGCTTTGTTTGCTTAGAGGAATACTATGAGAATTCTCATTCTTTTTTTCAAGTATTAAGAACTTAAATGCAGGGCGCCTGGGTCGCTCAGTCATTAAGCGGCTGCCTTCGGCTCAGGTCATGATCCCGGAGTCCTGGGATCGAGCCCCGCATCGGGCTCCCTGCTCGGCGGGAAGCCTGCTTCTCCCTCTCCCACTCCCCCTGCTTGTGTTCCTGCTCTCGCTGTCTCTGTCAAATAAATAAATAAAACCTTAAAAAAAAAAAAAAAACTTAAATGCAAAGACCTGATTCTGAACATAAAAGGGAATACAATTGTTAAAATATGGGGAGACTTCTAAGTGTATACACCTAACCAAATATTACAGCAGTTTATAATTATTTGAACAGACACAGTAAGAAGAGTGAAGGATTACATGCAAGGCATTCTAATGCTTATGGAGGAAATGGTAAAGCCTTATCATTTTTAAGACCTAGGGCACGGTGAGTAACAACATCATTTTAAGAAACCTTTGACCCTGACAACTGTCAGTTATTCAGTTATTTTAATGGATTTGCCTCTATGCAATTAATTCTCTGCGACAAGTATTTGTACCAGGAGATTACCTGGAGAAATCAATTAATTCAGTGCAGTCATATATTACGAGATGACAGAAGATATCAAATGTAAGTGACTAGGGGTTGCTGAAGCTACTGGATAAAAATTCAGCTCTGGACAATGTGTGAATTGTAATCATAAGGACCTCCATATCTGTAATGAATGTGACGTAGGTAAGTTAGAGAGATTACATATTAGGCTCTGTAATTAATACATCTGTCCAGGGAAAACATAGTGTAAAATCAACTGTCATTCTTTCAAACACCTACTTCTCTGAGTCTTCCACTGAGCGGCATCTAAGTTTGCTAATATGATATAAGCATCACAGAGAGCCTCAACACTTCTGACCATCTGAGGTCTCCTACTTCTGATAGTATGTATTATTCTGTTTGCAGCCTCGGTTCGATCCTATTCAGAAAAGAAAAAACAAAAAAACATTACATAAAGAAATACCCAAGACTTAAACTTTTCAGAGTCATAACAAAAGGAAAAGCAAAATATATGCACTAAACATTGGAAAGACTATAATCGCTCAGAAACGAATAAAATAGTCACCTTATGAATGAAATACATCAAAGGTAGAATAATATCAACAGTAAAGGACTTGGATGTATTTTGAAATGTATTTTTTCTTTGCTCGATGCTGTGAGAAAAAAAAGTATTGGTATCCACTGTGCTTGGAGAATATTCAGGAATTTTGAACCAGTTTTAGGTGGCATAATAACAAAGGATTTGAAAACTGAATACGGTCAACACACATTCTTAGAATCCCTGAGATTTAAGAAAGGAATATTGGGGTGCCTGCGTGGCTCAGTCGTTAAGCGTCTGCCTTCAGCTCAGGTCATGATCCCAGGGTCCTGGGATGGAGCCCCACATCGGGCTCCCTGCTCTCCTGGAGACCTGCTTCTCCCTCTCCCACTCCCCCTGCTTGTGTTCCCTCTCTGTCAAATAAATAAATAAAATCTTTAAAAAAAAAAAGAAAGGAATATTGTGGGAAAATATGAATACTACAATTCAAAAAGGTATGTATGTTTAATCCAAATACCTCATCAAGCGGAGAGCTTTGTTTAGGTGCATTTTTAATTATTCTATTCCTTCTTGCTGCCTCTGGTTTTGTCAAAAATTCATCTTTGTTTGCATTTGCTAAGGCCAGTATAATAAACAAAGTGTGATGGGGGTGATCCATTGAAATTCTAGAGATAAGCTGTCAAAAAATAAAGAACTATTAGTTTTATGCAACCAACCAATCAAACAAAACTAGAAAACCCGTAACATTTTTCCTTTTGTTTGGCGTTCCAGGTATGTGGGTAGAGTGTGTGTGTGAGACAGAGGAACAGGGAGAAATGACAGAGAAACGGAGAGATGAGACAAAAGGAAATTTTTATTCCCGCCCTTTTACAGCATAATAAATATGAATGACTAAAATACTTCTATATTTTCATTTCCTAGAGTGGAACGGTAATGTATAATATATGAAAGAAAAGCAACTGTATTTTGATTTTCAGGTTTACTTACATTATTGAGGACTTCATGAAATCCAAGGCCCCCCATCATTTTGGTCCCCATTCTAGCAGCCAACTGGTACATAAGAGGCAAAAATTTGTAAGATGGAATCTTCATTCCATCGGTCTACCACAAAAAAAAAAAAAAAAAAGCCTTAAGAAACAATGCATTTAAAAAAGTCTCACATCTAAGCAAATAAATTATTGTAAGATAATGCTACTAGCAGAAGCATCTACTCGTTAATAACACTTCGCTAATCACATTTTTTCCCTTGACATTCTCTTGGTCTTCCTGATGGGTATTCTAGATTGATTCACTGGTGAGTCACAGTATTTGATCCTAAATTAAACTGTATTCAGAACTGGAACACTCGCACTGATTTCATTCCAGTGAACCCAAGGAGTACGAATGTGGGTCTGAGGGCATTGTGATCTCGACTACGGAGAAGTCGGTGTATAATACAATGGAGTAACTTGTGCCCTGTATGCTAAAACTAACAGGATTCAATGAGCACTAGCAGCAGAGATTGCTTCTATCTATCATGAGGCTTATCATTCTTTTCATCCAGAAGAAACATTTTACTTGTAAGCTTCAAATTGGCTGCCAATATAGGTCCTGTAAGCATAACTTTAATATCATCAATAAAATCTAAAATTTTTAAATAAAAACTTATGAAATACTACTGCCTTAATGTTGTCCTAAAACTTTATTTTTCATTTACAAAAGTAATTCACTGTAAAAATCTCAGAAAAGATGAAGCAGGAGGAAAAACCCGCCTGGGGTCACAGCATCGTCAGCTGCCTTCCCAATCTAGTCTGGCACTCTGGCATCTTCCAGGGGTCACTGAGAAGGTCCAGGCAAGGACGGAACTAAATGCTCTCATCTCTGCATAAACCTGCGTCACTGGAACTCATCAAGACCCTCTGAGTAGAGCATCGAACCAAACACCAGGGATACAAAGAACATACGAATCCCTGACACCGGCGGGCTTCTGTCTGAGCTTATCGAGCGCAGGCGAGAGTACTGGATTCAAAAAGAAGACTCGCCTTCATCATGCCATTGACTTCAGAAACTCCAGAATTTTCAAGCCAGAGGGAACAAAGACGGAATATCCACATATCATGCCCTTCTCCACTCAGTAAGCAACTGATGTAATTTTCAACTGCTTTACATAAGAAGCGTTTCCGGTCCTCTTTCAGTGCACGGAGCGCACATTCATCCAGCTCCAGCTCCCGTTGGACCTTTACTGTGTATCTTGCATTGGATAATTAAAAGAAAACACAAAACCCACAACACAAATCAACAGTCAGGTGTCCATCCCAGGAGAAAAGGCAAAATTCTAAAAATTATAAGGGAACAAACTTCCTTTTAGTAACTGAAAGTAAGTCTGTGCAACTCAAAAGCCATTCTAGGCAACCAGGGACAAAGTGGACCCTCCCCAAGATGCCTATTTAACTCTACTTTCCCTATTGTATGCCAGACAAAGGCAGGTCTGAAGAAGGGTTTGATTACATCGGGAAGAGATAACTCTTCTGTATTTAAATTAAACACCTATCTCTTTTTAACTATGATACCAACAAACCCAAAAAGCTCTACACTCTACAGTGCACCTAGAATCACACGGCATGAATTCATGCTCTGGTTCAGTACATCTCTCCGTATACAGTCACTGTATCTCTGTGTATCTTACCACTTTCACTGGTAGACATCTCATTACCTGTTGGTCTGGATTTTATGTTCCCTAAGAAGGCCCACTTCCTCTTTGGCCCTTTTCAGAAGAGCCTGCTTGTTTTCAAACTCTGATGATTTCATGTAGTTTTCAATTCTCTGGTACTGAGTGTCCGAGAACCGTGCTAATGAGAGAAATGCTTTCATTTTTCCATTTCTAAGCTCATCACTGCTTTCTCCATCGTAATTTCTAGC